ACTGAAATAAAAGACAAATTGTATCTGTGATTCAAATTCTTGACAAGATCCAACCTCCAAAAATTCTTCAATGAGATTTCTCAAGAATGTCACTTCAAGGGTAGCCGAGGGATCAGAATTCCCTTCTTTCAGAGGTTCCTTCCTTACCATCCTTTTCCACTTCTTGATCAGACTTGGATTCAGGCAAAGCTCTGTCTACACAAGTGAAGTTCAATTCCCCAAGAATGCAATTAGCAAGTATACAATCATATTCACAACTCTCCACCGAAAACAATAATTGGGAAAAGACAGTAACATTGCAACACCATAAAAATACACTTTTGTCTCATCTTACCTGAAAACGACCATAAGATAAGCAGTACCAGGATTTCAAGCTTGCTAATCTCAAGACTGTCATGCTGACAATCTCATCTTCCAAACTCTGCAATCCAAAGTTAATGGCTAAGCCGCAATGTTCAGGGAAGCTTTGGCAACAGTTTTGTTAGGATGATTTTGGCATAAATAGTAAAGGGATTGGAAATACGGAAATTATTATTCTGATTGTCAAGCTTACTGCTGATGAAAACTAGAAACAGAGAAGTCAAAACTCCATGAATACAAATAAACAAAATAATATATATCATTGATTTCAGTTTTCAATTTACAAAATTATGAAATTTACCTTAAATGTTTTAAAATTTTTAGGGAAAAAATAAACACACCGAAAGAAATACCTGCCACTCAAGGCAATAGTTAGCCTCATCAGCATTAAATCAATGCCATATTGGATGATGGGTAACTTGAAGAGCATTTTTATGAAAAAAATGTTCTATAACTCTAGTGCTGAACCCTAAAAACGCTGGAACATGTAGGGAGTGTCTCAGGAGCAAAAAATTAGTTTAGGGACCTGTTTAAAAATCAATGCAAAGAGCAGGGACTGAATTGATAATATTCATTTCAGGATCTGAACTAGATGCAGACCGTATTCTATAAGAACAACAAAGCTTTGGCCCAAAAAATGAAAATAGCATATCTGTTCCCAAACTGTTTTCATAACGTCAAGATACAGCTGAAAGTAGGATTATGCTAAAGTACAATAGTCCCTAAGTAGTGAAGAAACCAACCTTAGATAATGAAAACAGCACACCACTAATACAAAGATGCATTAGCAGTATTAACAAGCATGTTTGTTAAGTTATTGGTAACAACACACAAATAAATAAAATAAAATGTTTTGAATATGACCTAACAAAAGGAAGAAGAACCTAGCCAGCATACCTGAAAGAGGTTTATCATGAAAACTAAGTAATTGGTCTTCTCTGCTATGCATAGTTCTCTTCCCTGCAGTTAAATTTGAAATGTTAGATCCAGTATAATTTCTCTAAATATCAAATGGTGCCATCAAGTGCCAAAGAAAAAACATTTCACAGTCCAAGCCAAGGAAATATTCTTAAACATAGCACAAACAACAACAAAAAGAGATTAAACAAAAACCATCGGATGATTATTACAAGGACACATATACATTGCAAAACCAAGGGAAAAGAATACCAAACGGCCACTTAGGAGCTATGATCTCTGCCCCTTGATTTTAGAAAGATTAGAATAAGTAGCAGATAAGGGAATAGGAATTATCAATCGTATTGGGCGAACAGTCCACTCCACACAGACTGATTATAGAATTGCATGTGTTTCAGATCCTTGAACTCACTTCTCCTGTAGAAGTGGTACCTTTTTCTTTTCGTAAGTGTTTGAATCTCTAGGCTCTCTTTCATGGGTGTGAATTCAGTGATAAAACTCTACACCAAGTTTTTTAATAGGTCAACCATAAAGCACAAAACAAAGATGGCAACCTTAGTTTTTAGCAGGCCAATTACTAAACTTCAAATTGATAAAAGAAAATGGGAAGAGAAATTTGAATAATCACACATTATGGACGACCTTAACAAAAGATGCCATTCTAAATCATCATGTATGAGACTAATGCACCTAAGTCAGAAAATATTTCACCAAGATATGCAGGTAAGAAGACAAAACAAAAAAGATGTCAACGCTGATGGGGATTTGCCAGATTGTGGTGATTAGCAAGCAGTACTGTACATTTGCAACCCACTCAAACCAGAACATACAATTGAAAGTTGCACTTCTTTATAATGCATGACTAAATCTTACAATGATAATACCACTATACCAGAGGGAAATATGGATACAGACCTCCTTCAGCCTAAGAACCTTCTCAAGAAATCCTTTGAAAATATCTTTGCGATCATAGAAGCACACCCAAGCTGCAACATTCTCTCGGAACTGCAAGTGGTGCAAGCATTTTTATTAGTTATGGAGACCTTATTTTTCTCCTAGAGATTTTCAAATTAATTCTAAGTTGCAAACAATTAACTTCATAATTATGAAGCACTGACGTACAGCGGTTAAGGTTTTTAAAATTTATTCCCTTTATTTCTTTCTTCCCCTGTTGGCCGAACATCAGGAGAAACATTCCCCAATGTGATTTGGTCCTCGTCCTATAAATACTTGTACTAAAAATTCGTCATTCAATCCATATTCCACTATAATTACTTAGTTAATGATTCGGTTCCGCTGTCGTTATGACATTAGCAAGTAATTAGTAAGTGCTTTGCTACCTTTAGCAGCCTACGTTGTATGATAGTTCATCATAAGGAGTTAACATTCTACATTAACCCGAATAAAAGCTATGGAAGAAGCAAAATACCTTCTCATTCACCATGAGCATCATGGACATAACGTGCTCGAAAGTGGCAGTCTCTGGATCGAAATTTGGCCACAAATAATTCTCCAAATACTGACTAACCTCTAGAATCATAACCCTTTGTAGTGGGACGGGTTTATGACCCTCCTTAACCAGCAACTCTGTCTCATAAATTTTCTTAACCAATTCCGGATCAAAAAGGTTCTTGGGACGAGCAGGGTCACCTGTTATCAACCAATTAGCCTCAGCAATCTTAGTAAGTCGATCACGTTGAATCTCCGAAAGAGTAATAGTGCTTGGAAGCGTAGCCCCAGGCTTGGCCTCCACTTTCTCAGCTACCGGGTACTCAGCCACCCTATGACGACGAAAGTCGAATACTCCGGTTCCGTACACCCGCGTCATTGTGAAACCACAAGAAGTTTCAAACTTGAAGAGAAAAGGCGGTGGACTCCGATTACAATACTGAGATTATAAGCTTTCTGGCGAGTAGTGGACTAGTAGAATCGAGCTTCGTAACTCAGGGTTGAAAGAATAGGAAACCCAAGAAAAGCTTGCACTTATAACAGTAAGCTGTTATCTTCAACCGACGATGGAAAGGAGGCAGGGCAGAAGTAGCCGCCTTGCATTGTTCTCGTTGTCCCGCGATGCACTACTAGGGATTGAACGGTAACAAACCTCAGTTGGAAGTTGCCGAAGGCCAAAGCGATTCACTCTTCAAGCCCCCCAGCAGTAATTGTGGCTCGCGGTTCATTTGATCCAATCCGACGGCCGATGTGCCTAGCCGACGTCGTTTTAAATGGGACAATCTTAACCATCCATCCCCTCAAGAAACCTGACCGTCAGTTTTCACTTGGAGCTGTTTTTTAATTAAAGCCTAAATTCTTGCTCATAAGCCATACGATTAAAAATAATTAAAACTAAAAAAAATTATTTGGCCAAAAGAAAGCAGAAAATTTTAAGATACTACCTTCAGTCCTGATTATAAGAACTAGTTGACTAATTTTAAGAGATTAAAAAAGTAAGTTAAGTTAGTTATTTGTAATAAATATGTATTGTCTTTCCTAAAATATCCTTACTAATCAAGTTATTGGTTAGAACTACCCTTATTAAAGGAAATATTTTAGAAAAAAATGCATAAATATGAGAGACAAAGTGGATTGGGATCTTATAATTAGTACTAAAATAAAAGTCAAACAAAGTCTTATATTAAGAACAGGAGATAGTATAATTAAAAATTAATTTATTTATACTGTAATTAAGGGTCTGTTTGGCTCAATGAAAAGAAAGGAGGGAAGAGATTATAAAATTATCTGATTTGAATTGATTAGAGAGAAGGGGAAAGGATAGATTTTATTATTATCTTATTTGGCTTAGAAAAGAAAAAGAGGAAAAATATTTTTATAAGGATGATTTTATGCTTTTTCTATTTAAATTGTTTTTATATTCCAACTTTCATAATGTTCAATAAAAATTTCCATTGATAATTTTTAATTGAAAAAATATTTTTTAAGAAATTTGATAATTACATGAATGCATATAAATATATAACTATGTACAAACTGAGTGAGACGAGAAAGAAATGCAAAAAAGCAGGATGAAAATATTAAAAAAGGTCATGAACAATTTAGGTAAGACAATTAAAAAAATATATACTTTTTCTATCTAAATCTTTTTAATTTTGGAGGGGAAGGGGAGTGCAAACTTTATGAAATTTTCCCTTTCCTCCTACAAATTTTGGATTGCCAAACAAGGAAAGGGAAGCAAAATCCTCTCTTTCTTTCCAATCCCTCGTACCAAACTCACTCTAAGTAATTTAAACCCAACATTCTTTTATTAATACTACATCATATTATTAATATAAGAATTAGTTGACTAATTTGGATAGATTAAAAAAACTTTAGTCCTAAAAAGTAACTGACTAATTTAAGATATTAAAAAAATAGTTAAGTTAATTATTTATAATAAATATATTTTTTTAAAATATTATTTCCAATCAAGTATACTGGGTATAACAATTATTATCATAAGAACTATTTTAAAAAATAAATGATTAGAAGAGATAAAATATATTAAAATTGGATTGAAATTTTATATTTATAAAAAAAAATTTTAAATTAAGAATTTGGATTCGGATTGGATTGGATATCAGAAAATCTCGTTTTTCGTAGGGGAGAAAAAAATCTTCCGCTTGGAAGGAGATTTTCCATGGGTTTTCACTTTTTCTTTTGACCAACGGTTCTCATTGGTTAGGCCAACACAGTTGACTTTCCCAACGGCCCTCCAACCAAGTTTTTTCAGAAATTTTCGCGGCGAAGGAAGCACGGCCGCTCCGACACTCAGTGAATTCTCTGTTCCTCGTTCTCTCAACCAAACAATGCGTAGACGATCACCAGCCTGCAAATTTTTCCTCTCTCTCCTCATTTTTTCTCTCTTTCCTCATTTTCTCATCGCCCGCTCCGTCGTTCTTCTTCTCTCTCAGGACTCCGTCAAAGAGGGCCTCACCTCATCCGACAGTCCCTCCGATCCTGACTCCGACGCCGAGTGGGACAACTTCGGTGATTCAGACACCCACAAGTCCGACGAGGAGCTCGACCCGGGGTCATGGCGCCCAATCTTCGAGCCAGATTCAGATGCCACTACCGCCGAACCGGGTACAGAGTCGGCGGCGCTTTACTACTCCGGCATTGGAAAGATTATGTCGGCGGTTAGCTCAGGAGAGGTGACGATGATGGAGGATGCTACTGGAGAGATTGAAGCGGCGTGTGAGTCGGGATATCCGGCCGCGCAGTCAGTGCTAGGGTTTCTGCATGGGATGGGCATTATGAAAGAGAGGAGCAAAGCAAAGGCGTTTCTTCATCATCACTTTGCTGCCGAGGGTGGTAATATGCAGTCCAAAATGGCTTTGGCTTTTGCATATACACGCCAAGATGTGAGCAATTTACTACCACCCCCAAAAAAAAAAAATTCTGCTTATTTTCCTAGTTACTCAGTTCTTTTAAGTAAAACATCGAAAACTATTGAGACTGCATTGCATTTTATTTGATAATAAAGTCCTGGTATTTTGGTTGCTGTTGAGAGAAAGGAATTTTTTTTTTTCCTGGGAGAAGTCCTATTCGCTATAGAAAATTAGTAACACGAAATCATTAGGACAAGTAAAGATGTTAGTCGGGTAAATTGTTTAAGGACATCGGGTAGCTTTTTTATTTACAACTATTAACTCTTAATGGAACCTCTTTCACCTATCTCGTTTGCCTCGTTCTCGCTGTTTAATGAAATGTTTTGTTTGGGCAGATGTCTGAAAATGCAGTTAAGCTTTACGCTGAATTAGCTGAAGCAGCTGTAAATAGTTTTCTAATTTCAAAAGATTCCCCAGTGATTGATCAAGTTAGGATCCATAACGGAGCCGAGGAGAACAAAGAAGCTCTGAGAAAATCAAGAGGGGAGGATGATGATGACTTTCAGATATTGGAATATCAAGCAGAGAGAGGGAATGCTGCTGCCATGTACAGGATTGGCCTATTTTACTACTTTGGGTTGAGAGGATTAAGGCGTGATCATGCTAAGGCATTGTCATGGTTCTCAAAGGCCGTAGATAAGGGGGAGCCGAGGTCAATGGAACTTCTTGGAGAGATTTATGCCCGGGGAGCAGGTGTTGAAAGAAATTACACTAAAGCTATGGAATGGTTTACACTTGCATCAAAACAACAATTATATTCTGCTTATAATGGTATGGGGTATTTCTATGTAAAAGGCTATGGAGTGGAGAAGAATTACTCAAAAGTGAGATTATATTTTCTCTCTGACTCTGTATTTTGATTGGTAGATGATATCTTTATTTGCCTTGGTCTCTGTAACTTGCCATATCTGAACTCATACTGGCTGATTTCCGTCAATTTAATTTTCTCTGACTAAATCACATTCTTTTCTCTGTTGCTGCATACTTCTAACTTATCACTTATATTTACACTATATCCCTTCTCCTTCATTGCTTCTTCTTAGTGGCTATGCTTGTTATCCTAAAGTCTTTCACTTTTGTAAATTTGGTTTCTTCTTTAATGTTAGAAATCCTTGAAACCTGAGAGGTATCCTTAATATAGTTACTTCTTAAGCTGGTAACAGAAATTAGGGTTGAATATGGCATGTCTTTGATAGTGGCCAAGAGTTGGGTTTTAGAAAACGGAGAAGTACATGAATGACATTTGTTGGTAACTGTTCTATCAGCTTTGCTTCTTGTCCTTAGCATTGTTTCACCCTTATGCACAGTTATGTTTTTTTTATGAAATTCTTTTCGGGTAACATATCTACAGCTATGGTTTATTTAACAGTTTGCTGTGTAAATGACAGGCAAAAGAATATTTTGAAAAGGCCGCTGAGAATGAAGATGTTGGTGGGCACTATAACCTTGGTGTCATGTTTCTTAAAGGAATGGGGGTAAAAAGAAATGTGATGGTGGCATACAACTACTTTACTCTAGCTGCTAACAATGGCCAGCCAAAGGCATTCTACCAGCTGGCAAGGATGTTCCATACCGGTGTTGTGCTCAAGAAGAATATTCCACTGGTAAGTTAGTTATTTACTTCTTTAATCTATCCGAGTGCTTCATAGTTTCCCTGCCCAATATTTGTTTTATTTCATATGATTTACTGATTCTTCCATGTTTGTATAATTATTATAGTTTCATCAATTTATCTTTAATTTTCTCTTTGCTGCGATCATGCAATATGCCAATTATTTCCCTTAAATCATGCTGGTCATTAATAACTTTGGATTGTCTGTAGGAGTTGGGACAACAATGTAACAAGAAAAATGTCATTATGGCAAAAATGTCTCTCAAGTTAACTTGAAATATGATTTTTTTTTTTTTTTAAATGAGGGACATATTAAATGGTGAGTCTCCCTAGTTAGGCATAATTCAATTAAGTATACTACCTTATCAGAAAAAAACTAGAACATAACAAATCTGTTGTCACAACCTATTTGTCAAGAAGAAGGTACGAAATCTATTATCATACATTTAGCATATGCTTTGCTGCTGATGCACTCAATGTTGAAATTTGCTACCAAACACATGGCATGCGATGAATAGTAATGATGGGAAGGGAAGAGAAGAGCGGAGGAGAAGAAAGGGGGGGGTAACAGAACTCAATTCATTAATCTCACATGCTTCTTTACAGTTAGTCTTAAGCCACCTATTTATAGCCCTTAGCTACTAACGGTAACCTTTTCTGCTTAACCCCACCGCCACTAACTCGTAACTAAACCCTCTTATTTATTACATTAACATATCTGCACGATTGAAACTTGAAAGGTTGTATTTGTGCTTACAAGTAATGTTATTAAATTACTACTTCCAGTTCTTATATTAATTTGAAATTATCACAAAACTATTTTGAAAAGTAATTTTAAAAAAATATCAAAACCAAACAAGCCCTTGCCCTGATGGTTGCATTGCTTGTATATCTGGCTGGGAGAGAACTCACATGGGGTTTCATCGCTTGCGTTCTCTAACACAACCGCGATTAGCTTAATACCATATGTGATATATGTACTTATTGCAGTATTTGTAAGATAGTTATTAAGGAGACTAGATTTGTGAATAGGAGCCTGCAATAAACTTTTGATTTGCATTCTTGCTTTTGTTTCTTGAATTACCCCACCCAGTAAGGGCACCAGCTTATGGTTTTAGTTTTTTTTTGTTCTTAGGCTACTATGCTATACAAACTAGTTGCAGAGAGGGGTCCTTGGAGTTCTTTGTCCAGATGGGCGCTAGAGTCATACTTGAAAGGTGATGTTGGAAAGGCATTTATGTTGTATTCAAGAATGGCTGAGATGGGCTATGAGGTAGCACAAAGTAATGCTGCTTGGATTCTGGACAAATATGGGGATCGTAGCATTTGCATTGGTGAATCTGGGTTTTGTACAGATGCAGAGAGGCATCAGCGTGCTCATTCTTTATGGTGGCAGGCTTCTGAGCAGGGAAATGAACATGCTGCTTTGCTGATTGGAGATGCGTATTACTATGGTCGGGTATGTGTTTAGGCATCTTGATGCTTACAACAATTTGCTTTTGCCAAGTTAATAGTACTCTCCCCCCCCCCAAAAAAAAAAAAAAAAAACTTTCCTTCATTTTTTTTCTTGCATCTCTATTTTCCCTTCAGGGCACTGTCAGGGATTATGAGCGAGCCGCTGAGGCTTATATGCATGCCAAATCGCAAGCCAACGCACAAGCCATGTTCAATCTAGGGTACATGCATGAGCATGGCCAAGGGCTTCCATTAGATCTTCATCTTGCCAAGCGTTACTATGATGAAGCTCTAGAACATGATCCTGCTGCAAAGCTGCCTGTCACCCTTGCACTTTCTAGTTTGTGGATACGTATGAATCATGGTGACAGTTTCTTGGTGAGTTTTTGTTATTAACGCATACTGTCTTGCTAGCTTATTGCCTGTTATAATTTTTAAATGGGGAGTAACTATGCTAATCTATCATTGTAGTTGCCCTTGCATCTTAGTTAATGGTTCTTCGAGCTTTTTACATTTATTTAAATGATGATGGATATGTTAGATGAGTCTCCGTCTATGTAGGCCACTGCATTTTCCCCATTCCAATGAATTTTACAGTAATATCAGGGTAGAATGATTCGGATATGGAGGGTATGGTGCATATTAGCCGAGGGTGACAACTCCAACCCCCTACTGAACTCTCAACTTCTAACCTAATTTTGGCAGATTGCATGATTTGATGGGAATTTTGTAGGGGATGAATCAACACTACATTCTGTGGCCAACTAGCCTGTTAATGCTTTTATATGTATCAGATCAAACTTCTCATTTTTCGCAGCCTAGATCCTTATGACATGTCCTTTGTTTATATTCAGGTTCAAATAATTGATTCTTTGCCAGAAATCTTCCCAAAATTGGAAGCATGGATAGAAAATGTGCTTTTGGAAGAGGGGAATGCAACAATTCTCACTCTGTTGGCATGTCTTTTGACTGTGTTATATCTCCGTGAGAGGCAACGAAGGCAGTTTGATGGCGTAGCTGGAGAAGTGAATCAGCAACACCCTAATGAGCGTGGTGTGCTGGCACCCAATTAATTAATGTTACTATTATTAGCCTCAAGAAAATATGAGGCCATTTTTGCAGGTGCTGTTTATAAAAGGCAAATATTTTGTGTACAGGATGTGAAGTTTTCCTTCCTCTTTTTAGTTGTAAACTGTGCCTTTGGTGGCTTGTGGGATCAGAAATAAGGAATGCATTTGTAGATATGTATAATTCTTTTGGATGCTGAGGGATGAATTTTGAAGATTATTTTGGTCTTTCAGATGTTTGTTTAGTCTTTAATGCAAAAACACAGCTTCTTCAATTACACAATTCTTTCAGCATTCCCCACATGATATTACATGTTTCTGAATTAACAAGGCTTTGATGAATTGATGTTCAGCTCCTGACAGGTCAATAAGAGCTTCTTCTTTTTTTTCTTTTTCTTTTTTCTTTTTTTTGTGAACCTCATACTTATCAAAGAACATAGTACCAGGCTCAACAAATTTACAGAAAGCTTAAGTCGTTAACATAATTTTACGAAATTGGCATGCTGCTTGTGTCCAGTTCATTTCTACATTCAACCATGTAAAATTAGCTTTTTAAAAATGATTCTACTGTGTGTTCGAGATAAATACGTGAGAAGATATTTATTTCTATTTATATGAAAGTAATTTTTTGAAGTACTTTTCAAGGTTCCTAAATTCCCATGTTGTACTGGTGATGGTTGACCCAAAAAAAAACAAAATGGAGCACTTCAGCATTCCGCCGTAAAATATAGTGAGGTGTAATTTTTTTTTTTTTGCTACAAAAATTTTAGGAAAGGGGTCGGGCTCACTCGCGATCTAAGGGCAGGGTTCCTAACGCTTGATCCACTGAGGCCTGTCCCTAGTGAGGTGTAATTTTGCTCCTGATATATTTACAACGGGTCAATTTCATCCTAATCTAACGCCTCACCAAACGTCCATTTGAAACTCACTCCCCCTCTATCATCCTCCCTCAAGTTAACCAGCCAAAACTGAAGCCTCTGCACCTCCTTGCATCAGTCTCTCTCCATACCCCTTCATCTTTCCCTAGTATGTGTACAAGCAATTATTTGTCTAGAATCGCTCATTAATATGAAGAAAGAAAATCGAATATAAAATTAATTAGATAAATACTATCTCTGGTCCTATCAAACTACAAACGAGGTCTTATAATTAAGACAGAAGTAGCATCTAGCAATCACCAAACTTGCAAGAACCAATATCAGTAAAATTGAACTAACTAGGAGCAAACTTGCGGGGCGATATCAGTAAAAATCCTTTACAAATCCTAACCATTACCAAATTTCACTCTTGAAATACTACTTTTGGTCTTTAATATAAGAGCTAGTTGACTAATTTGAGTAGATTAAGAAAATTTGTTAAATTAGTTATTTGTAATAAATAGATGTTATTTTTCTTAAAATATCCTTACTAATCAAGTGTATTAACTAGAACTACCATTACTACAAGGATTATCTTAGCAAAAAGTGAAAAAATATAAGAGAAAAAGTAGATTGGGGTCTTATATTTATGACTAAAATAAAAATCAAAAGAACTCCTATGTTTAGAACTGGAGGTAGTACTTTACAAATCCTAACCGCATGAACAGAATAAATGATAAATAATAAAAATGTAACTTGCAGCAATAAATGGGTTGGGATTTGTTGTAGTAGTATTATGAATTGGGTACCTGGGACCAGGAGCAAAAGTTTAATGGGCCAAAAGAGAGTGGCCGGGACACGATGTCTCTGTTTCTCTACGGCTACTCATCTTCTTTCCTGTAATAATTCTTCTTCCATTGTTATTAAGAAATCACTAAATATTACTCAATTATTACTACTATAATTTTTAGAACAATACTTACATCAATTTATTTAGTATAAATAAATATTATATCAAATTCTCCAATTACACAAAAATATTAGCATTTAGTAGCATTTAATTATAATTCTAAATTAAAAAAAAGACAGATGTCCATATGTAATTTGAGAACTTGACATAGTAAATATAAGTAACTTAACCTAAGTTTTTTCTAATTTTTAAATCTTGTAAGTGTAAAATTTAAGAGGTGAGCCTACATGCATGTCATAAATATTTACAGTTCACAATAACTAATAAAATCTCGAATTACTCGCAGGGTAGACTATAGTGCTCCTATAAGGGGGAAAAATGGTATTATGATACACAGGGAGGAATGTCTCCATTTAATTTTCTTTTCACTGATGAGCTAATTCTTAGCAGGTATTGAAATTTATTTGGAATCTAAAATGGTATACTATTCACGGCTCAATAATTTCGGCCAAAAAAAAAATTCATGGTATTATTGTTATAGGTATTAATTATTGTAATAATTATAATTTAGATCGAACATTGAAGTAGGCTAAAATAAAGGGTCAATGCAAAGAATGCATCAGTTATTTTAGCTGAGCCAAACTTGATCCAGAAAAATAGAATCACTCACAACAATTCGTTACAAAATTTACTGCCTATAAAACTCACGCAAATAGCATCTTAGAAACTTGTACTTGTAAAACGGAAACAAAAAAAAAAAATAAGAAAAATTTATACAAGTACAACCGTTAGGGTTTCTCTAAAGGTTGCAATGGGTGTTTCAGGCAAAGCTTGTGTTGTCCTTATTTTATGTTTCGCCACCCTCGCATATTGCGGGGTTTCTGAGAAAATAGTTAATGTGTTGGATTTTGGAGCCAAATCTGATCCCAAGGTCGAAAGCACCGAGGTAACCAAGTTAAAAGTTTAATGATTTTTTTTTTCATGTAATATATCTTTGTAATCTCTTCTCTTTTGTTGGTCTTGTCTTGTTTTTGTTTCAAACGTTCGCACTGGTTGGTTTGCCTGTGTTCATCAGATCGAGTTCGACGAAAGTTTCTTTAATTTTCTGGAAAAAAGTGAAAGCGAATTTCAAATTCCGCTTCCAAAGTGATTATGGCGTGATTTCGTTTTAAATAAATAGTAAATTACGCATACTTTACCAGTAATGGTTAACATAGTTAGTAAGAAGTTTGCTCATCATGTCCCATAAAAATATACAGTTTATGTATGTATGTATATGCAGGCATTCATGCGCGCATGGCAAGCAGCATGCAAGACAAAGGAGCAAACGAGGCTAGTGGTGCCACAAGGGCAGTTCTTGGTGTCCTCCATGTTCTTTGCAGGGCCATGCTTGACCCCTGGCCCTGTCACTATTCAAGTGGATGGCACCATTTTGGCTTCCACTGATCCTTCTGAGTATGTCAACGCCGATTGGCTCATCTTCCAAGACCTCGCCGGCTTTAACCTCGTCGGCGCCGGCACTTTCGATGCCCAGGGCAAGTCCATGTGGCCCTCCACCTTCGATTGTGACTACAAGCCTTTCACTGACTGCGTCAGGCTCCCCAGCGTAAGTTTCTCTCTCTCTCTCTCTCTATATATATATATGTTCTTCACCTTATTAGTTGTTATAGTTTTGGCCCACATATAATAATGACTTCAGGAACGATAGACAAGCCCATAAAATGAACTCACTATTATATTATGGATTAACATATGGAAAAAAATGTGGTCACGTCTTTTTGTGTTTCTCCCTCTTTGATTCACTAAAACTAAGGTTGTCTTTAATTAGGTGAAGCCTTATGCACACAAAGCAAATCTATCTTTGTGATATGTAATTAACCCCACTTCACTATGTTCTGGTTTATGATCGAAGTGACTTTCAACTGAAAGATGAACACAAAAATAGGCTCTTTTTTCAGAGAGGGGGATGTCTGCTACCCCCTCTCTTTTCCAAATGTTTTTTCTTTTTTTTTTTAATCATTAGATTTAACAGAAAATTAGTACTCTTTCGATCCTTAATATAAGACCTAATTGAAGAGTTAATATTAGTTTTATATGTAAGATCCTATTTTACAAGTTTATCAATTTTTTTTCAAATTTACCCTATTGATATTTTTCAAACAATAATTCAGTAGGAGAGAAAGAAAGAATTGAAGAAGATGTTTAAAGTGTTTTTTAAAAAAAATCATATTACTCCTCCGGTCCTTAATACATGACTCAATTGTTGAGTTAGTTTTGGTCTTAAATATAAGACTCATTTTTCATATTTATTGATTTTCTCTAAATTACCCATATGAATACTCTCTCAACCATAATCAAGTAAAAAAAAAGAATGGGGTATTAAGAAAGATGATTATGTTATTTTAGGAAAAACATGTCACATTTCTTATAATTAACTAACTTACCTAACTTTCTTAATCTAATCAAATTAGTTAAATAAGTCTTATATTAATGACAGGAGGAGTAACTAATTTAACTGGTATATATTTTTGAATCTTGTGGGTGCTTTAGTAATGTTTTGAACCATGTGTTGTATGTAGACCTTTCAATTCAACAACGTGAAGGATGGAGTTGTAGAGAACATCACATCAGCGAATGCCATGGGGTTAGATCTATACATAATGAAATCATCAAACCTCACATTTAAGTCAGTGAAACTCATTGCACCTGCTGAGAGCCCAAATAACGAAGCCATTCGTATTGATCAAGGTTGCACCAACGTTGTCATTTCTCAAACCACAATCCGACATGGCAATGATTGTGCTTCTGTCCTCAAACAACCCAACGATGCTTCTTTCACCAAATCCAAATGTACTCCTCCTTGATTACTCTATTATATTGTCCCCTTAATTATTAGGGACTCCTCATCGGTTCATTTTGGAGTAACCAAATTGCTTTGTACATCATTAATTCATCAAGGAAGCTATTTCGTATTATATATATATATATGTTGTCATCCATCTCCTATATATTTTCTTACATTCCAATTAAATATTATAATCATATAAGAATGTCAAGATGTTGATTAAAAGTTTAGAACTAAATATATAATACTACCTCCGATCCTAATACAAGACCCAATTGACTAATTCGAAAAAAATTAAAAAAGTCATTAAATTACTTTAAACCATTTATATTTATCGTGTTTCTCCAAACTAACTTGTCTCACTTATAAATTGACATATAATCTAATGATTTAATTTTAAAAAAATCATATAACATATACTATAATTTAAATAATTTAGTAACTTCTTTAATATCTTTAAATTAGTTAACTAGGTCTTATATCTAAAATAAGAGGTGCTACGTCTCATACAGAAAAGAGATAGGACAAAAAATTATGGCTATTCGATAACAAATAGACATGTACTATAACGCGTGACATCTTGACAGGGGGCCGGGGAATGACAACTAAAGATCGGTAGAACAATTTCACTTCATTTAATTAAGATCAACAAATTGTCAAATTCTAATATTTAAGAGACCTTCAGCCTATCGATGTAGGGATTTCACTCCAGTTTAAATAAGTTTGTAAACTCATATTCCTATATATATTTAATGTAAAAGTATATGTCTAAGGATTCAACGGCGACCTTTTAAAATTTGACACTTGAATGTGAACAATTTGCAACTTATAATTTCGTAACCGTTAGTTTCTCACTCATTTCTCACACAACAAATTTAGATCAGATATAGAAAACTTAAAATATTTTATTGATTTTCTTATTTTATTTTAGAAATGGAACTGTTCCGTTCTGATCAAAACGTTGTAAACAAGATGTGCACCTTAGAATTTATTAGATACATTAAAGATGATCCAGCAGGTCCTCATAGATACATATCCAAGGAGAAAAAATAGCCCTTTTTGTAGTGGAGGGTAATGGAGCCTAAATTCAAGGGATCGATGAAGCTACATTGACAGCATCATTAATTAGAGTAAACAAAAAAAGAAATCCAACATCTTTAATTTCAGTGATTCATAGGCTTCAAGCAAAAAATAGAATCAGAAACAACCTTTTTTTTTTTGGTAGAAAAAATCGCAAATAGCCATTTGAAGGTATAAAAATAAGAGGCAAAGAAAGAGGAATCATTTTCGCACTTTTATCTCTTGCCTCTTAGGAGGCCTTGAATTTGAAGAACAAAACACAGGAAAAAAATTCAGGAAGGAGGCTCAATATGGCCTTTCAAGGAGGGATGGTTCTTTCTGCTGTGAATATAATTCTGATGAGTTTTACAGTGCTGTCATTATCGTTATCGGATTATGGTGTGGAAGCAAGAGCAAGAAAAAGGCCAGTTTCTGGGCCTGATATGTTCATGGGTGAAAATTTAGCCGTTGATAAACTTCTTCCAGGTGAACAAATCATCAACGTCCTGAATTTTAAAGCCAAACCCGATGGCCGCACTGATTGCACTCAGGTATTCAATTAACTAAATCCCATGGCTCTCTTATTTAGTATTTAGTCTGCTTTATCTTATATTACTTCTGGTCGTTAATACAAGAGCTAAGTGATTAATTTGAATAGATTAAGAAAGTCTGTTAAGTTAGTTATTTATAATATATAAGTATTATTTTTCTTAAAATATCTTTGTTAATTACGTGCATTAGCTAGAACTAACATTTGATGAAACTTTTAACATGTGCAACTAATACAGTAACTAATTTTTAAAAAATGGATATATATGAAAGACAAAGTGTATTTGAGTCTTATATTTAAGATCAAATTGGATGTAAAACTAACTCTTATATCAAAAAACGAAGCTAGTATCTTAGAATTAATCTCAGTTATTTCTCGTTTGTTAATCAGATAAATTTAATCCTGTGCATAGGATGATGAGAGATTTGATTTGCATGCATGTTTTATATCCTATATATATTGATCGTGTTGTGTTGTTGTGTGAGTTCGTAGGCATTTATGACGGCATGGAGAACTGTGTGTAACTCGCAACAACAAGCGAGGCTTTATGTTCCGCCGGGGAAATTCTATGTTTCTACCATGTTCTTTGCAGGGCCGTGCAAGCCACCACAAGCCATCACTATCAAAGTTGACGGCACCATTCTGGCTTCCACAGACCCTTCTGAATACGTCAACGGCGAATGGCTCATCTTCTCCGACCTCAGAGGAATCAAGCTCATCGGCGCCGGCACTTTCGACGGCCAGGGTAAAGACATGTGGGCCGCCAACACCAATTGCGAAAACGACCCTTCCCCTGAATGCAAAAGACTCCCCAGTGTAAGTCTCTTAACAGGTTCCTCCTTCTGTCCTCAATATATTAAGACGTAGTTGATGATGATGATGTATTAGTTAGTATTTTCTATGCGTGAGATTATCTTGTTTAGTTTGCTGATTTTTGTGGTGTGTTTTAATTTTGAGGAATGAAGAGCATTCAATTCAACAATGTGACAGATGGACTGATACAAGGAATATCATCAGTGAATGCAATGGGCTTTCACTTCTTCATTACAAATTCAGCCAACATCAGACTACGAAACCTTAGGATCAACGCACCAGGAGATAGCCCTAATACAGATGGCATTCATATGAGCCACTCCATCAACGTCAGAATATCCAAATCTCTCATTCAAACTGGAGATGACTGTATCTCTATGATTCAAGGGGTCGACAATGTGGCCATTAACAAAGTCACATGTGGCCCTGGACATGGTTTTAGGTGCGTACGTAAGACAACTTCTTGTGATCTTAACCTCGTATCAGAATAATTCTGATGTTGTTGAGTGCTGGATTTGACTGGTGTGTATATATATGTAACAGCATTGGAAGCCTTGGGAAATACGTTGATGAGCTCGAAGTGAAGAACATTCGTGTGCTGAATTGCACAATGGTGGGCACAACTAATGGACTGAGAATCAAATCATGGCCAGATAAGTACCCAGGCGCAGCATCACAAATAATCTTCAACGACATTGTTATGAACAACGTTGCAAATCCCATCGTCATTGACCAAGAATACCAGTGCCAACCTGCAAAATGCACCAAGAAGGTCTCAGTCTCACACACACACACACACACACACACACACACACACACACACACACACACACATCATCTTTTCAAATGCATTCGTTTTTAACTTAATTATTACTGTGCAGCCGTCACTGGTGAAATTAAGTGGGATTCAGTATTCGAATATTAGAGGGACAACAACTTCAGAAATTGCAGTGGACTTGCGTTGTAGTCGTCAATATCCATGCGACCATGTTCAGTTAAATAACATAAACCTCAAGACAGTAAAACCACCCCCTCCTACCTCCAGATGTCTCAATGCCAAACCTCTCTATAATGGCCTGCAATCCCCACCACCCTGCTCATAGACTATACAACACAGTGTGTTAGTCTTATAAATGTAATGTAAATACTCAATTATTATTGTTGTTTGGATCGAATCCTAGCTTCTCCCAACTGTTAGATGAAGCCAGTAGTTTGAAATCTATATAATGCAGAGTCTAAAGGAAATCCCATTTCTCTGTTTTTTTTTAAGAGTAGTCCAATAGTGCATAGTCCAAGTCAAAGATTCGGCTCTAGAATTCCTGCAGATTGTACAGTGTGTGATGCTGTGATTTACTAATTTATCTCTTTGTAACGGCTAGTATTCTTTTTTCCTTCTTTCTTTTTTACTTTATAGTTATTTTTCTTTATATTTGCTGCTGGCTGCCTGTTATTGCCTCTTGTATAACAAACTGTGATTATAACAGGAATTGTAAAGTTACTTGTGAGCAATTTATTGAAGAGGTTCAGAGTTCAGAGTTCTGTGAGAGAGAGAGAGAGAGAGAGAGAGAGAGATTTTTGGGAAAATTAATGTCCAATGTATCATATAAATGCCAAACTACTTTCTTTCTCTGGTTTGTTTTTTTGTCAAAAGAAAGGAAAAGGTGTTATTGGCATTGTCAGAACCAACTTTAAATTAGTTGGAAAGCATTTTTAGAATCATACTTCCTAATCCAAAATATAAAATGTTATTAAGATAATTAATATGATTTTTTTTATTTTCACTCCTATTAAATATAGGAGAAAAATAAAAAATAATAAAAATGTAACATTAAAACCAACTTGATCATTTTTATGGGTAAAATAAAAAAGTTTTATCATTTTAAAACATATCTAATGACTAAAATTTTATTTTTTGATATGTAAAAAATTAACTAATTTTAAAAAAAAAAGCTAAAAAAGACCTTAAAATAGAAAAATTACAGATAGAAACCCATTATAACATTATAATTGATAAGTAAATGACAATATTATTTGCGAACGGTATATATTTTTTATTTTTAAAGTTTTTTTTTGTAATTTCTCCTAACTAATTTCATATATCATGTACAGTAGCCAGTAATCTATGAGCATCACAATATCTTCGTTTACGATGGAAGTGGTTTGACAAATTCATTCGTTTCAACTAATCCTGCGTTCTTTCTGCGGACAAATATAAAATTGGCCATCCCATTACAAATAATGTTACATTAATTGTTGCCCTATTTTCACTGGAAAATAAAAAAATAAAACATAGAAATAATTAAAGAGGCCTTCAAAAATACCTTTTTTTCAAATTTTTTTCCTATTATCTAAACTTAGGATGGTTTAAACTTTAAATTCAGATGAGAATAAAGCTCTTTCATTATAGTTTTCTAATTTCACAATCATCTTTAAATTTTAAACATAAGATATCCATTACTAATTTATTATTATTCTTGGTTCTTAATATAAGAGCTTATTTGATTTTTATTTTTATTTTAAATATAAAATCTCAATTTATTTTGTTTTTCATATTTATCTAATTTTTTTAAAGTAATTTTTATAATAATAATAATTCTAACCGATACCTTGATTAATAAAAATATTTTTAAAAAAGACAACATATATTTATTACAAATAAGTAATTTAGCTATTTTTTTAATCTATCCAAATTAGTCAATTAGTTTGTATATTAAGGATCGAAAATAGTATCATTTTTCCTTTTACCCACTCGTGGTTGCTCTCCTTTTCCTTTTTTTTTTTAATTTTCTCCTTTCATATGAATTTTTTGGGCATAATTTTGGGATGTATTTTTTTTTTTAAAAAAATGACAAGGGCAAAAAGAAAAGCAGTGAGAATTATTTATTTATTCTTCTTTTTTTTCATTCCAAAAATTATTTATTTATTCTAAAACCCTTCTTCAGTGAGCATTTGTAGCCCCCATTTCCTCCCTGAAATTCCACGGCTCCCTACTCTGATCTTGCATTGTTGACAATGGCGTTCTTCCATGCGCGACGCGCCTTAGCTTCTTCACTCCTGCGAGCTCTTTCTTCTTCTTCTTCTTCGTCTTCTTTTTCTTCGATGGCTTCTTCTCGCTCTCGCATCGCATTTGCCGTACTCCCCAAACAAACCCCACTGCTTCCGCATTCCCTGAAATTCCCAATCCGTTTCCAAGCGTCGGTGTCTGAATCGGAAGAATCGCCCGCTAACGACAAGTCTGAGGAATCTGAGGACCCTAAGGAACCCAAGGACACCAAGGACTCTGAGAACTCTAGCAAGAAGAGTGCGGCGCCCAAGGACACCATTCTTCTTGAGGGCTGCGACTTGAAGCACTGGCTTATTATCATGGATTTTACGCAATCGCCAAAACCGTCTGAGGAGGAAATGGTAAATACCTATGTCAAAACCCTCGCCGAAGTTGTTGGAAGGTGCGATCGCGTTTTTCATTGCTTTACTTGTTACAACTCAGTTCCTATGGCTCTTTTTCACTCTTTCTCCTGATGAGACTTATTTGGTTGTAGTGAGGAGGAAGCCAAGAAGAAAATATACTCTGTTGCTACTATTCCATATACAGGTTTTGGTGCCGAGATCTCCGAAGAGCTTTCAACAAAAGCTAAAGGTGAGGCTCACTTTGATATTTCATTTGGTATGAAGTTTTTGGTTCCTTTGCGAAATTATCCCATTTGAGTTGTTGTGCGTTTTTGTTTTACTCGTGTTGGGAATGGTAATTAGCTGATTTGATGAATTTTGATGGTCTTACCGTATAATTGTTTGCAATCTCATCATTGGAAGAGATATTAATTTGGGGTTACTGCCTCAGATATCAGCCACTGATGACTTTTGAGCTCTAAATGAGGATTGCAAGCGTTATTGTAAGCGTTTCATTCTACATATACTCATTTTATAAGTTTTCTGCCTTGACAGGGTTACCTGGTGTTCTTTGGGTATTGCCGGATTCATATATGGATATCCGCAACAAAGATTATGGAGGTGTGTGGACGACTTTATCATAGTTTTTTTTTCTTTTTAGATCCCTTTTCTCTTGTTAACTTTGGTTGTCATGGACCATTTTGTGCGGATTTCAGGTGACTTATTTGTTGATGGGAAAGTAATCCCTAGGCCACAGTTTAGATTTCAGAAGCCTGAAAACAAACAACCAAATGAAGGTGAGAATGATAGGTACAAGGGAAGACAACCACGGGGTAGATCACGGGATGAAGGAAACATGGCTACTTTAAGGCACAGCAACAGAAACCAGGGTCGGAGACCATGAACAACTATGACTCAGCTTCAAGTAGTGAAGAGATGGAATAGAATTTGAAGCTTGCTACCATTTACGCATTAAAGCCAACTTTTATGATAGAACAAATTAAGGACCTTAGATCTTTATTTTTCTTCTGATCTTCCTTGGTGAATTGACTAGAGCTGCTTTTGAACTGCGTTTAATGGGGATATTAACTAGCGTTATTGCTAACTATGCATTCCTGATGAACTGTATGCAAAAAATCATTGTGCTCTATCTCATTTATGTTTTGACCTGCGATTTAGATCATTATTCTTGAAACTTCAAACAAATATGTGCATATTATGCCCTTGTTTTTGCGTCTAAAACTGATCCTACTTTCTCATGCGAACTTTTTCTGCAAGATGCTGTGTCATCTGTTAAAAATATGCATAATGTAGAACCTTCTTATACTTCTGAAGCTGCTCCTTTCAAGTTTCAATCCATTGTTGAACTGCACTTGTCTTGATCATTGTTCCAATCCTTCTATCCCTCATCATAATAATGCTTGTGCTTGATGAAATTTTTATGCATAATGCATAGCTCAATCTCCAATTTGTAGCCACAAGCATAGATGTGCGTAAAACCTGGTAAGCTAAGCAGCTAGGCTAGCTCTGACCCGATCAAACATGGCCTGACCTGGCCTGAAAAATGCAAACCGGAAGAGCAAAATGATCATTTCCTAGCCCTGAGGTCCATGCAAACCTGGTAGTTTACTTCGGCATGATGTTATACCACATCATGAGTTTAACTTAACACGTGCAGCATCAGGACTTGGCAATTTATCCCGAATTCCTCTACCTGAGAACCCTAATTTGATTTTAGCAAAAGCAGAAGGAAGGCTTATAGACGTATCAATAGCTTCAGGATACCACAAGCACTGTTACGTTGTTGATTCAGGCTCTAGATTGCAGAGACATGTACGTCACCTGGACGTTCGGCTTAGCCCATTGCTCTGTTGGAAGATCCTAACATGAAATGGCGTCGCTACATTGAGTTTAAATTAATAAGCCATCTTTTAGAGCATTGAGTCCTAGGGCGGTAGCAAATAACAAAAATACTGGCAGCGAATTGTTGGCTTAATGCGATGAGAAATGGCGACGTGGAAGGACACCAAGCGAAGGGGAAAGGATAATGAAGAAGAAAGATTAATAAATCAAACTTGGGGAAACCACTTGGTTTTAACTTTTACTCAATTGGAGAGACGAGGCAAGGGTAATAAGCTCGGAGGATTTTGTTTTTTTGGCCAATAAAGTTGGATGTTATCATTTATTCTTCTTATCTGCCATTCACGTTATTAATTTTGCACTAGATATCCATCAAGAAGGTAATGGACATGTAAATAATAAAAGCGCCGTTAAATTTGACGCTTGCGTTGAATGAAAATATGTTGAACATGCCAAGTGAAAAAATTACTAAAGTTTAATAAATTGTTTTTTCCAAGTAAAGTATAAGTTTAATAATAATAATAATAATAATAATAATAATAATAATAATACTGACTTTCAATTTAATTATAAATATAAAACTTTAATACTACCTCTCGCATTTAATATAAAATCTTATTTGATTTTTATTTTAGTCTTAAATAAGATCGTAATCTATTTTGTCTCTTATATTTATACATTTCTTTCCAATGTAGTCTTTTTTAACAATAATAGTTCTAGTTAATAAACTTGATTAGCAAATATATTTTAGAAAAGATAACACATATTTATTACAAATAAGTAACTTAACTCTTTTTTTTAATCTCTTCAAATTAGTCAACTAACTCTTATAATTAGGATCAGAGGTAGTATATTTTATTTTTCACATTTATCTATTTTTTTAATATAGTTTTTATAATAGTTAAACATGTTAAATGTTTCATCAAATAGTAATTTAAGGTAATACACATGATTAGCAAAGTTCTTTTAAGAAAGATATTTATCATAAATAATTAACTTAACAAATTTTTTAATCTACTTAAATTAATTAATTAATTCTTATATTAAGAATTACGTTTAAAAACTTAAAAACACAAGTAAAGGTGGATATTTGTGGCTTTGGGCAGATAAATTGGATCAACCGTGGCCGTGAGCCTCGGACCTTAATCACCGGCCTTCGATTCCCAGATAATTTCATCAAGAAGCTTCTCTGACATCGGCTTCCATTGCACCTCTGTTGTTTCTCTCCCTCCGTCAAGAGTAAGACGTGTGAATCTCGCTCTGTTTGGATCCTCCATCGTTGCGGATCCTTTCTTTTTCCATTTCTGATCAGCTTTTGGCTTTTTCACATCCTCCACCTTGAATTCAGGGATGAATTCGAATTATGGTAAACCCAATCAAACGAGCGCTTCCTCTGCCTCAGTCAAAAACTTGAATTTCGACTTCGATCTCGGGATCGGATCCAATCGACCCAAATCTCTGAACGATCAGAAAAACCAGAAATCGACCCATACATTTTCTACTTCTTCTTCTTCGTCTTCATATTCATCCGCGCAGCCCAGACCCTCGTGGCAACCCAACAAGCCATCATGGACTCACCAGCCTGTACCAAATCTGGCAAATCAGTCTGGATTGCCTGGTGGCCCCACTTCCATGGTGGGGGATATCTCTGGTAAGAGTTGGGGATCTACACAACCGTCGGGTTCTAGTTCGACCATCGGAATTGTTGATAAAAACCCTAATCTCTTTGGAGATTTGGTGAGCTCTGCAATCGGACAGAGTTCTAAGAGTAGCAATAATACTCCCATAAAATCGATTCCTGCCTCTAAGGCATCAGGTACTACAACGAACAAAAGCTCCTTTTCGATGGGAAATATGGCGGATGCTTTGCCTAAAACCAGTAACACGACGGCAAGTAGTGGAAGTTGGGGATCTTCCGGGTACAATAATACTAGCATGGGCACTAATAAGAGCCCAAATCTTGGTGGTCCTTCAATGCGAAATATGAATAGTGGTAGTTCAGCTGGAAGTGGAATGAATGTTAATAGAGATCCATTCAGCTCTTTGGCTGGATTTGGATCAAAACCATCTGGTAGTCTTAATTCAGCTGGAATGGCCACAAAAAATAATAAAGCCGAGGATGATGGTTTTGGAGACTTCCAGAATGCCTCCAAACCAGGCCCTACCGCATTCCCATCAAGTAGTTCTGCTGCAGAGAATTTCAGTTTTCCAGGATCTACCAATTTGAATCAGAGCCCTGTGCAGACATCTGCTGGTGGTGACCCTATAGACATCTTATTCTCATCTTCCTCAGCTACGGCTGGAAGTGCTACTGCGACTTCGGAAGCATTTGCAGGAAATTCATCTTCTGAAATTGATGACTGGGGTTTGGATTCTGAATTTGGTGGAGGAGGACATGATGTGGGTGGTACAACCACTGAGCTTGAAGGGCTTCCACCTCCCCCTGCTGGGCTATCGGGTTCTACAGCAAAAGGTAAAGGGATGGACAATTACAAGCAAGGTCAGTTTGCAGACGCTATTAAGTGGTTATCTTGGGCCATCATCCTTCTTGAGAAAACGGAGGATAATGCTGGTATGGCAGAGGTGTTGTCATGCAGAGCCTCATGTTACAAAGAAGTTGGAGAGTATAAAAAAGCAGTGGCCGATTGTACAAAGGTATACTTTGATATCTTAACGATTTGAATGTTGAAACAGTTACTTTTTTTTTTTTTTTTTGGGTTTAAATTCAAACCATAGATGATGAGGTTAGTGCATATTAGAGATTGAACATAATTGTCATAGTTGTTGAGACTGCATTAATTGTTGGACAAATTAAACTAGATGCCTCTGTCTTGGGCCAAACTACTAGAGTGTTTTAAGCTTTTAGTTAATTATATTGATAAGGGCTTAAAACTAGAGAAAGAAAACGAAAACAAGGTGACATATTCTAAACTATCATACCTTAATTGAATGTACTTGTAAACATTTTGTTTGAAGCTCTTGGTAGCATGCGTGTTTAGTTCTTGAATTTAATAGGGATGGCTAATGCATAAATTCTACTGTATTGTGATTGTCCTTTTGAGATGGATGGATTGAATTACGTCATGATCCTTATCATATTTGTTTGGAGGGTGAGTTGTTTGCTTTGCGTTATGCTGTACAGGTACTAGAAAATGATGACACAAATGTATCTATATTGGTGCAACGTGCTCTCTTGTATGAGAGCATGGAAAAGTACAAGCTTGGTGCGGAAGACCTGAGGAGTGTTCTGAAGATTGATCCTGGTAATAGGGTTGCAAGAAGTACCATTCATCGGCTTACAAAGCTGGCTGACTAGAATCATTTTATTTTAGGCTACTCCATTTTTTTTTTTTTCAATTTCTATATATATAGTCACATCTTTTCACCCCTTAGCCATGATTTTTGGGGTTGATAGTAAAGTTTATCTCTCAGTGAACGGATTGTATTTATGATTGTCGCCCATCATATTATTTTTGTGTGTGGAATCTCATTTAACTTGAATTTAATACTTAGTAAATCAAACTTTTTTTTACATTTGTAATGACATATTCTTTTCCTCGTCATGCTCTTTGATATGTATTTTTAATTGTCTTTTTAAGACTATGTAGATAGAAAATTAATGAATTCCTTTTCCAGAGTGCACTTGAGCATGTTATTTGGTTTCACCTTGACTTGCTTCTCATATCTGGCATGCATCTCTGTATGTTTATGTCAATCGTTATTATGTATTTATTTCTCAATATAATATGTGACCCCATGGCTCAAGTCAAGTCATAACATTAAGGGTGTTTTTCCTGCCAACACATTAGGGGGTTTGATTTTATGTTTCTTTGGCATGCATCCCCGAATGTTTAATTCATATGCAATGTAATTTTCAAATCAGGGTGGAACAGGAGTTATTTGCAATTAGTGTGCCCACCGTGTTTAACAAATGTGCCCTGGATATTTTATTCTATTTATTACATTTCTATGAGAATTTTTTCTTGGGATTTATATGCTTTTTTATTGCCAGTTTCCACAGTTGCAGGATATCAAAATCTGTTCGTGTGTCCACCGTCATTTCTTTTTGCTTAGTCTTAAACAATTAGTTATATTAAAAAATTAAGCTAAGCATTCTTATTTATACGAAAGGAAAATTTTGAGAGTATTTTTTAATATAATTTTTTTTCATGCTTTTTTGAATATATAATTCCCAACCTCATCCTCATAATAATTTATTGTCGGCCCTTTCCCTAGCTTATTAATATCCTGGCTGGTCAAAGAAAAATTAATATCCTGGGCCTCTTCAATAAGATGCCTAAAGGCTTTTCCCCGGTCCAATAACGTATGTGGGTTTGCATAAAGCCCATAATAGCTTGTTAAAATCCATACCCAGCCACCATCATCAAAGCACTAACCTGCGTCCTTTTAGAATTCATTTTTAATTTTTTAATTTTCGCTTTCTTTTTTGAACTTAACGTTAATCTTCTTTTTTTTAGTATTCACCATTTTTTTGGACAGTTGAGCCTGTTATTTTTCCAAAGCTGAAAAGATTTTTCCCCAAAAAAACTGCATTTAACAAAGAAAACAAGAAGTAACAAAAAAAATATAAAATAAAATGTTAAAATTTTTTCTTGGGGTGCTTAAATTATTCAATTATTATTATTTATTAAATATATTGAATTTTTTGGCCAAATTAAATACATATAATAAATCTTTCGGCTAAAAAAAAAACTAAATATGGATTAAAATCCAGACAATGGCTTGATTTTATTTTTGATTGAGGATATTTTGCTAAATTTTGATTACAAACCCCACAATTTCATGGTCCCCGATTACTGGCTTACCAGGCTTTTCGACCTCCATCGTGATATACAGTTTCTAAGACTTTTTTGTTTGTTCTAGAAAATATATGGCGATCAGCTTTGAAGATAAGATTCTGTTTGTTACCTCATATTAGATAAACCTTGTTCCCATTTTTGGCCAACTTGAAGCAGTGACCTGTAAGAATAATAACAAAAATGACAATAGTGACAAGAAGCCGGAGAAGAAAAGCGGAGGTGGAAAGACTCGCAAGAACATTTACGGAGGAATCCAACAAAGGCCGTGAGGCAAGCGGGCCGCCGAGATAAGGGACGCACACAAGGGCGTTCGAGTTTGGCTCGGCATCTTCAACACCGTCGAAGAAGTCGCCAGAGCTTACGACCAAGCCGCCAACCGCATCCGCTGTGACAAAGCCAAGCTCAGCTTTCTGCCAGCTCCTCTGGCTCTAGTCCCCCTGGAACCGCCTCAAAAGAAGCAGTGCCTCCTCCCCGGCCAAAACGACGCTGTTCAGCTAAACCAACAAATCTCAAGCTTCGAATCCTTCTTCGATCGTGATGACAACAAGAACAACAATCTTAAACCACAATGACGCCGTTCAGCTCAACCAACAAATCTCAATCCTTCTTTTCGGTCTGGACGACAACAAGAACGACAACAAATCTGAAACCAAAACGTGCCGTTCAGCTTGACCAACATATTAACAACAATTGTATTGGATGTCAAATAATTAAATATAAAAATATTCTAGTCATTGAGTTAAATGTTAGGTCCAACTTGAGTATAGCATGAACAATATTATATACACTACTTTGAAAGAAAATGAAAAGGAAATCGTGTGTATTTGTGTATATATATTAATTATTTAACTTTTGGATTGAAAAGTAAATACTGTTAAAAGAAAAGTTCTTAAAAGTAATCCGTTGACTTCTGTATCTTAATTAAACAGGTTAAAAATGAGCAAAGCATTATATTCCAATTCTAATCGAAGTAATAAATTATCTTTTCTCGTAGTGTTGCGTGCAATTATAGAAAAAAAATAAAGTGTGTGCATGTATTAAAAAAAGAAGAAAAAAATTGGAGGGAATGACCCAAAAAAATTAATATTTATTTTAAAGGATCCTAAAAACTCCAATTATTTAAAAAGACAAAATATTAAGATAAAAATATAAAAGTACCAGGCTAGCCCTAACTGAGCTCCTACAGTTTTTCTTGCCACCACAACTGAAATATTTCGTGGTTAGTGGCAAACGATTCCCCTCCCTCTTTCTCTGTGCATATTTGTGCCCACCTTCTATCAGTAAAAAACAAAAACAAAACGTAACGCACAGTATGTGGATGTCTAGTTATTAACTTTAGAATACAAATCTACTTGCGCAGTACTAAGATTAGCAAATAAATCAGATAACACCTAAACGTCCTGGTGAAACACACATGGTATCTTGTGGGAAGACATTGATGAAAAGGATGGAACTGATTTATTGACTTAACAAGCAACATCAAAACCAGCTCTAACTTCTTGAAGCAGTCCTGATTTTGATACAATTTGGAGTCTTATAAAAAAAACAGAAGAAGACTGAAAAGAACGCTCAATAAAATCATTAAACGAGACCTCCTAGTTAATAATATATCTAAGGAATTGGTTGGTAATAGAGCACGATAATGTCGTGCAATCCATGCAACTGACCTTCATTTTCAAAATCTCACAAACCAATCAACTCTCTCTGATAGTTTCTCCGTTGTAGACAAACCTGCCAGCAAAAGACGATCAAACTTGAAAAGCCATCTTTCTGCATCTGAAGATGGCAACTACATGGAGGAAGGCGGAGGAAAGAATGTAGGCTGAAGGGCAATTCCGTGTTTTTAATTTTATATTTTAATATTTGGTCCATTTAAATAATTATAATTTTTGAGATCCTTACTAATAAAGATTATTAAATTTTTTTCGATACAACAAAGTTTACGGATAAATATTCGAAAGTTAATTTTTTCACACTTAAGGGCATTAATGACATTTCATTTCTTATCTACATGGCTAAAACTTTTCTGGATACTGAAATAAAATAGTTTTAAAATGATTTAAATTATTAAAAATTAAAGAGATAATAAAAATAGAGAAATGAACTTATCATTCTTGAAAAATTATAAATTTGTAGTCCAAAATTTATAAATAAATTATTATATTTTGATCAAAAACTTTGTCATCACAAACATTTAAATTAAAATTTTAGAAAATTAGATGAAATCCGTAAGGCTTTGCGGCAATGATGAATCTTCAAATTTTAAAAATATGAAATTAAACCTACTTGAAATTTTGAATGGGAAAACTCATTTACGCAAATAATAATTGTTATCCCCTTTTTGAGTTTAACCAGACATTGCTATCAGCTAATATCTTATTTCATTAAGGAAACATGGCATCATTTGAGTGACAATAATTTTTTTCCTTTCAAAATTTTATATTTATATAGACAATTTTTTGAAATTTTAGAATATATAAATAACGACCTTTTAAGTTATTAAGAATAACATCGTCATATATGAAATTATATTTATAAAACAGTATAATAATTTAAAATAATAAATATCAGTTGTTTGTATTTAGAAAAGGTTGGGGAAAACTAATTTCCAGTATAAAAATTAGTCATTTATTCCTTTAATTTTGAATCAATCACAACCTTGTTCTTGAAATTTAACTCATTCAATTTTTATCTGTTTAATTCATTAGTCATTATAATTTCAAGAAGTATGTATTCCTTCATGATCAAAGTTATAATCGAGTCATTAAAATATGAGAATAATGTTTAAATTTTGAGCAATTGAATTGCACCCGGGTTAAATTTCAAGAGTGAACTTATTTTCCAGCCAAAAATATATAAATAAATTATTAATTATTTTGAAAAATAAATCACTACACTTATATTCAATTAATCAATTTGAAAAATGGCAAGGGACAGGAAACAGGGTAGGGTAAAATGGTAATTAACGTGAATTCGAGGGGTGAGAAGCTGAAGGGGTCATTCCAAACGAAACCAGCCCCCTAGTGCGATGCTTTCCACGTGTCCTCCGCCTTTTCTCCCTTCTTTTCTGGGCCGTTTAACTACCATCCACCCTTTTTCCGGGCCTTTCCTTCTCCTTTTTTATTTCGAAAATATACGTGCACTTAAAAAAAACACATAATTAAAAAAAGCTATTAAATAATTTAAATTATAAAAGAAATTATCACAGTACATTATTCACCTATTATTATCTGCATTTCCATTAATAAAAGAAAAAATATTTGTTCGAGTTGGGAACCATACAACTATATATGTAACATAGATTTGCCCTGCTTTTAGTATAGTGGCATGATAATTTGTAAAAATATTTGTATGCACTATTTAAACGTCAAATTTTGCCATAATTTTATTGAGTTTTTAGAATCAAAATCTAATTTTTCAGTTATATTTGTATAAAGCCATTCAATATTTAAAATATGTACTTCAAGGTGGAATGAAAAAAGACTACAATAAATTAATCAAGAAAAAAGACTCCAATAACTGTTAACCTCTCTCAATGGTATCGGTTAAGCCAGCATTGCTCGAGCTTCATGCTTGTTGCCTTATTGGTTAATTTAAAATAATTAATATTTTGGTTCTTAGTATAAGATATAATAAGTTAATTTGAGAAAATTAAAAAAATTTACTAAATTATTTAATTACAGCATATATTACATGATCTCTCTTAAATACTTATGTGAATTATTAAATAAGGAATTTACTAATATAAACAGTTTTAAATAATTCAATAAATTTTTTAGTTTTCTTAAATTAATCAACTGAATCTTATATTAAGGTCCTGTAATATATACTGAGATATTTTCTAAACAGACCAAGAGATAGTGCTCTCAATTGAAGGGACTTTAACAGCTTAAAACACGAGATCTTGCGTTTGAATTAAAATTTATGTAAACGTAGAAAATGTTTGTAGAAAAACTATTCCTAATTGAACCAAGTAACACTTGGATCTGAGAGGAAAAAATATTTTTAAAACGGAGATATTACTCCCATTCTTCTCCTTGACACGTCCCTCTAATCCTGCGATCTCCGCCGTCACGTCCAACTGGCTCATCGACCGTCCGATGATCAGTTCTCAATGTCCCTCCTGTGGGCCCCACGGTGTCGTGTTTGTGATGCCCTCGCTTTCTCTCTCCTATAAATCTACGCCCTTTTACGCTTTTCTTCCTCACTCCCGTTTCCTTCTGCTTTTTCCCTCCGCGTCGTTTCTTGTTTTCTTGCTTTGATGTGCTCCTCTCTGAAAAACTGAGAATCTGGAAGTATGTGTGGAGGCGCTATCATCTCCGATTTCCTCCCTCAGAAACTTGGTCGGAAATCGACCGCCAACGACTTCTGGTCTGACCTGGAAACTGTCGCTGACCTCTTTGGACTCGATCCTACCGCTGCTCTTCCTTCCAAACACAGTCTGAAGCCTGAAGCTTCCCTTCATGATCAGAAACTCCCTCTGATTCCAACTACCCCAGGTAATTATTCTTATTTCTTCCAAAACTATTATTACTTCAGATTCTATCTCAATATTGTAAGCTTTTTTCTCTCAAAGAATTCCGTATTTGTGTTTTGAGTGGTATGGTGCTCCATTTTTGGTTTTGAGTGGAGGTAATTCCAGGCTATTGAGTTTATAGATATGAGTGAAACAAGGATCTGTTTTTATTAAGCGTATAGTCGATTTCTCTATGAAAACCTTTTTTTTCCCCCCCAGTGTATATGATTTTATGCGTAACCTTACTTTTTCTCAATCTGGGTTTAAAACCTGAGATTTCTGCTGGGTATTTCAATAATTTTCTTTCGGTTGGTGGTTGATATTCATGAGTGTCTCTTTATATTTTGTGTGAATCTAGAGAGAGAGAATGGCTCGCTTCCTTTTTCTCTCTCTAAAGTAAATAAAACTGACAAAATAAGAAAAAAAAATGTGGAGTCTCTCAACAGAAACGGAGAGCTCAGTTATATTCCAGGGTTTGATGATAGGATCGACTACCAAGAGACGTCCGTTTTTTTTTTTTTTGTTTCTTGTTGGCCTCTCTTATTCACGTTGAACCTGTTCATTGAAAAGAAAACCATTTGAAAAAAAAAGAGGGTAGATATCTCTTTTGAAAATTTAAGCGAAGAATCTGCACTTGATGTGCCGCAATCACCTCATAGTATCGATAATAATTATGATATATGAAATCCCACTGCATGTACAGTCTCTGAGACTCTTTTGGTGCCAGAAAATATATAGCCATCAGCTTTAAAGATAAGATTTTGTTTGTTACCTCATATTAGATAAAGCTTTTTTCCCATTTTTGGCCAACTTGAAGCAGTGACATGTGAGAATAGTAACAAAAGTGACAATAAAAACAAGAAGCCTGAGAAGAAAAGCGGAGGCGGAAGGACTCGCAAGAACATCTACAGAGGAATCCGGCAAAGGCCGTGGGGCAAGTGGGCCGCCGAGATAAGGGACCCACACAAGGGCGTCCGTGTCTGGCTTGGTACCTTCAACACCGCCGAAGAAGCCGCCAGAGCTTACGACAAAGCAGCCAAGCGCATCCGCGGGGACAAAGCCAAGCTCAACTTCCCGCCAGCTCCTCCTCCTCCTTTGTCTCCGACTCCGACTCCGGGTCCGGCTCCCCTGGAACCGCCCCAGAAGAAGCAGTGCCTCTTCCCCGTCCAAAACGACGCCGTTCAGCTCAGCCAACAAATCTCAACCCTCGAATCCTTCCTCGGTCTGGACGAAATCAACAACAACAAGAACAACACCGCTGATGTTTCGCAGCCGATGGGAGCAGGCGGTGGCATGCTGTCTGAGTGGGACCCCATGGACGATAACTGGATGCTGAACGACGTCGTTATGCACTACCTGCATCATAACGTTCACTTCTAGAAGAAATCTTGATATGGATCAGTGACGATATGACGATATATGTATGTATGTTTGTGTAGAAGTACGTCGTTTAGTTTATGCTTGTGGCTTCATCGTCGGCGAACTCATATTGTAAGTAATCAAATGCTTGGTGTACTGTGTTGAACAGGGCGTGTGGAAGATTGCATGTTTGTTTTTTGTTTATTAATATATATTATGAACTATAATATTCTCCAGGCGTACGAACAAAATATATAAGGTTGTTGTGTCGAATATATAAATATATATATATAAATAAAAAAGGTGGTTGTCGTATGTGAAACTAGATGTTTGTGAGGTGCATGCACGAGATCTAATGGGGAAGATTGCTAGTTTAAATAAAGGCTACTTGTTCAGAAGTGATTGAATATTTTAATGAGAGTATATAATATTATTAAAATAAGGTTAGTGTACGTGAGAGTGCAATTATGTGTATGTACATGGTGAACAAGCAACTAGATAATAAATAATATTATTTAATTAATTAAAAATGTAAGCACAGAAAATGATGGTAATTTCGTTGCAGTTCGCGTAACATATGTTGTATATGCTTTTCGATCCACACACACGAGATGCACTGCGCAATTTATCGTCCCTTAATTAATGAATAGGAATCATTTCCCCTTAAGCTATATCTTCGCTTTATCGCTTTATTGAGGATCCAATATATATACACTCAAGCACGCACATGTAAACATTGAGAATTAATCGGTCACGCGTGTACATGGGCATGCATAGTTAGGTTTTCATTCAAAGTTAATTAATAGTATCTCCGGTCTTAAATATGAGAGCTAATTAACTAATTTAAATAGATTAAAAAAATAAATTTAGTTAGTTATTTGTAATAAATATGTATTATCTTTTCCAAAATATCTTTACTAATCAAGTGTCTTGGCTAGAACTACTATTATTAGAATGACTACTTTAAAAAAAAATACATAAATATGAGAGACAAAGTGGATTAAGGTCTTATATTTATGATCAAAATAAAAGTTAAATGATATCTTATGTTAAGAATAGGAGGTAATACAATCTTATCTCATGAGTCGCACATTAAGAAGGTTATCTTGAAAGAGAGATATCGTAAGACTTTAAACTCTCCAACCTTAACGGCCAGCTCTTGAGGTGTGATTCTCTTGTTGAAGTGCTATAATAAATATATTTGACAAAAACGTTATCTTATTTTAAAAAACTTGTGCTGGTTATTCACGTCTCAATACTAAACACATAATTGCCGTGCTACCTCCAGTCATTAATATAAGAGTTACTTGATTAATTTAAGTAGATTAAAAAAACTAGTTAAGTTAGTTATTTGTAACAAATAGGTATTGTCTTTTTTAAAATATCCTTACTAATCAGGTTTATTGATTAGAATTATCATTATTATGAAGACAGAGTATATTGGAATCTTATATTTAAAGTCAAAATAAAAATCAAAGAAATATTCATGTTAAGGATCGGAGGTAGTGTATTAATTTCTTTGACGGTGTTAATTACAGGCAGAGTGCAGGATCTTGAGTTTATGTATAATCGCTTTTTAATTTTGAGAATGCATTAGAAGTTTAGAAGCGTAGCTCGCTAGATGAAGCACTTGTATATACGGCGGATTTGAACAAAATACTACGAGTATGATTACCAAAAGAACATATATTATATGAGTATATTGCACGACACTTAATCTATAATTATTATAATCCCATTCTTTTCCTACGAGTACGTATTCCCAGTGAAAGAAAGTTGGAATGCTAATATAAATTTCCCTACAATTATATCCATGAACAAATTACAAATGGCCACGAGGTTATGAGGAAGGGATGAGCTGATATTAACAACATATCAATTTCTAAACAAGTTTGACTTGATTAATAATAATGTTGAAACGAATTCGCTACTATGATGGTAATGATAAAACACACACACGTGTTTGTTTGTTTGTGTGTGTGTGTCTCAATGATAAAGCAGGAATCCCTTTATTGGTGCATGTTCCTTATTCTTCAAACGTCCTAACACAATAATTATTTGACTAAAATTGTTTTCAAAGAAGTGAAACCAAATTTGAAAAGAAAACCCCACCACCTTCGACCCGTGTGAAACATTGTTGACCATATGCGTACTCTTACTTACCCATAGAACTATACGTTTCGTCCTTGGCTTGTTTTCGTTTCATATAAATATATATTTATATATATTGCAATAGGTGAATTGATTTTTTTTTTCAAACTCATATAATCATGCATTAAAGCAACATTGACCAAACACCATTAGTTAAATATTATCTCTGATTGTTAACATAAGAGCTAATTTGACATTCAATGTGGTATACCCTAGCCAATTTTATCTCTCGTGTTTATTCTTTTTCTCCCCTAATGTAATCTTTGTAGTAGCTGAACATATTAAAGGTTTTATCATATGATAGTTCTAAATAGTACATATGATTAGTAAAAATATTTTAGAGAAAACAACATATCTATTATAAATAACTAACTAGTTAATTAATTTTTTAAATCAATTCAAATTAGTCAACTAATTCTTATATTAATAATCGGGGATAGTATCAAACAAAAGAGATTTTACTCTAGGCAAAGAAGATAATGCGATATTAGGAAAATTAGGAATCCTCTTTCTTTAGATTGGAGCATCAAACCAGACCCCACACACACACACACACACACACACGAAAGACGATGAATATGCGAATTAGTTGGCTAGAGAAATTTAGAGTATCATTATCCGGCCCCCTTTTGTTTATTTTGTTGACCCTCCATTATGATCTAATTGGATGAATTGCGCATAGGCTTGGACTAGAGTTTGGAAAACGGACATTCGCCAAACCGATGAACTGAAATTTGCTAAAAATTATTTTGATAATTTGCATTTACAAAACTAACTTTTCATGTGCGATTTTTTTTCTGGTAATTTTGCAAAGTGAGTTTGAAAAGTAGTCAAACATCAGTTAGGGCAAAGGTCCGGTAATTTTCCAAAACTTCTCTGGACTTGTAGAATTGGAATCAGATATAGCTATGGTGTGTAAAATATTATACAAACTCGTAACTCCATATATATATATATATATAGCTTTAACATTGCCCTTCGATTTAAATAATATAGAGAGGGGAGTTGGGAAGGGGGAGATTTTATTAATTTCGTGTGTGTGTGTGTGTGTTAATGTATTATACGAGTAGATCATTTCTGCTCTGCAATTTAGCTGCACATTCTTTTTCATTTTTGGCGTCCCGTGAACGGAATGGTATATCCTAGTTTTACCCTCGTTTAAGGTCCAAGATATACTGAATCTAAATAAGTCAGTGATATATTTGATAAATTTAAATATTGTATAAAGTTCACATCTTTTTTATATGATGTCAATTGTAGAATATCTAAATTTACCCATTATGTGATAAAAATATATATATAATAAAAAAATAATTTTGAAAGATGAACAATAAGCTTCATGTCTATATTTCAGCAAACAAAAATTTAAATTTGTAAATGGTAATAGAATGATATAACGAATGTTATATTAAAAAATATTTAGTAATTTTTTCCGGAAAGAAAGAAAAAGAAGAAGAATCCATGGGAGAGAAGTTTCTGAATTGGATTTTGAAGTCACAATGGAAAAGTAGATCACAGAAATTATAATTCTGACGTCCTATGGGAATATCAAACGTGTCTTTTTACTTTTTGCTAGCTTTTGATGTAAGAAACTTAAAGAAAGTGAAACACTTATGAACTGCACCATAATGTTTCATGATGCCATAAACCTGCACCTTTGTGAATTTCTAAAGAGTTTGACTACGATCGATGTAGCGGTTGTTTGGTCGATAGAAAGGTGGCGGATGAAACATAATCAATGCAAAATGCTCTCTCCGATCTTAACATAAGAAATTAATTTTAAAATTTTAAAAAATTAGTTAAATTGGTTATTTATAATAAATATGTGTTTACTTTTCTAAACTATTGTCTTTAATCATATATATTAAAGTTATTCCTTGGTCCCTACAACCATTAGAAATATTTTGAAAAAAAAAAATTATAAATTTTGAAAACAAAATATATTGAAATTTTATATTTAGAATCAAATCCAACATCTAATTAGTTCTTATATTAAGCAAGGGAGCAGTAAAAAATTTTTAAACACTTTTTCACTAGCTGAAAAAACATGCATCAATATATAAAATAATTATTTTTCCTAAAAAAAAAACTTTTTCACCTTTGGCGTAGAAAATCTTTTATTTTCTATACTAATCTGTATCGGTTAGAGAACTGATATAAAATAGATAGACTTCCTGCATTAGCGTACAGAAAATGAAATCGAATAAAATGTTTATTTTCATAAATGTGTTCCATAAAGATATTAAGAATATGAAAAAAGAAATCATCTTTAATTTATTAAATAAAAATAATAAATTTTCTGAAGAAAAAAACTCTCGTGCGGTGAGAGAGAGAATGGGAGGAAAATAATGAAGAGGGAATAACTATCTCAATGAAGACTCGTCGCATCATCGTAAAGAATAAGAATTGAATAGTTTTTTGTTAATATATCTTCATTCCATGAAATTTTGTAATTAATTAGCATTTCTATATATGAGAACGAGGGTTGATCGTAGAAAAGACCAAAAAAAAAAGTCTAATGAAACGAACTTGAAAATTCAACTTGCCATGCAATCATAATAAGGAATGATTTATTAGTATAGATAATAGGAAAGGCCAATATTACAATTAGATAACAAAAGTACCAAACCCGGTTTCCCCATTTGCATGATGCAGTCATTTAAATAGTCCGAATTTTATATTTTAAACTTGTTTATCTCACTTGCATTTTTTTATTTTTGAAACTTTGGAATTAAAAATTATTTTGTTGTTATTTTAAAAAAATAAAAAAATTAAATATAAACATTTTAATAAACTGTACACAATATATATAGAGTGAGACAACTTATTTTTCAAACTCTTTACATTGTTGACAAATGATGGTTGCTCATATGGCGTTTTTTCCAATAAGAGTTATATTTCAATTTTCTTAGATATGTTATAATTTCCACCCATTATTCGTGTTATATAAAATATAAAACTATTCATAGTTGAAATTGAAGTGTGGGGAAGGTGGTAAAGTCCAAAATTCCAAGCTATGATGCACACCTTCGTGAATGTAATGAAGTGTTTCCAAGTCAAATCAGAAAACATAAAGTTGGTGAGACGCTTTGAGACCAAA